TCTCTCTCTCTCTCTCTCTCTCTCTCTCTCTCTCTCTCTCTCTCTCTCTTTCTCTCTCTCTCTCTCACTCTCTCTCGAAAAAAATACTTCTTGAAATGTGTCCCAAAAAAAAAAGGGGAAGGTTCGAACTGAAGGGTCTATACTGGTTCGACACTTGGAAAACGTTCGTTACACGAAATGTTGTGGATGATAATACGGTGCTCGTCTTGCGGACTTCATCTCTCTGTCTATCTTCTGTGGATACATCCGAACTTTGGTTATCTTGGAAATTTACATTGCCTAGCTGCTCTACTACAACGATCATCTAAAATGCTCTTAAAAGCGAGGCTGATGATCTACGCGTGTGCTCGACCCTATGCCTCCTGTGCGGCGTCTCGAGAAAATGAAGTACATTCTCTTTGAGACTCTCTCTCTCTCGCTCTTTCTGTCTCTCTCTCTCTCTTTCTATATGTCTCGCTCTTCAAATGTACACGACCATTTCTTGCGGACTTTCTCTCTCTGTCTATCTCCTGTGATCTCGGATACATCCGAACTTCGCTTGTCTTGGAAATTCACATTACCTTGCTGCTCTCCTACAACGATCATATAAAATGCTTTAAGAAGCGAGGCTGATGGTCTACGCGTGTGCTCGACCGTGCGCCTCCTGTGCGGCGTCTCGAGAAAATTAAGTACAGTCTCTTTGAGACTCTGTCTCTCGCTCTTTCTGTCTCTATCTCTTTCTATCTCTCTCACCCTAAGTCTGTGAAGAGCCATAACTCGTTGTACTCCTCACAAAGTCATGTTCATGTCATTATACTGTTCTGATTCGGATGAGTATGATGCTCAACTCCAAGTGAAGTTAAAACACTGTGTAATATATTACTCTGTTGTGGTGTTCCACATCTGGACACATCCGAACTAGGAGAGGAGCGCAGCAGATATATGTACTGAGGCAAAAGATACATGTACTGACTCAGAGGCATATAACACAGTGTAATATACTCTGCTGTGGTGTTCCACATCTGGACACATCCGAACCACGAGAGGAGCGCAGCAGATATATGTACTGACTCTGCTCCTCGTCTCAAAGCTGATTTTACTCCAAGTTCAGATGTATCCAAATCTGGAATACCACCAGACTATACATTGCGTCATAAATTCGTTCAAAATAGTACACAAAAGAATGTACTATTTTAACGAATAACAAGTTGAGAGTATTCGTCGTCAAGACGTCCACGAGTGCACTGTGAATGCGCAAAGGTATCCGTCTGCTGCTGAGGAACGACGTCTAAGGGAACGGACTCGTTAATCTCCTTAGTCCAATGAGGAGAAAGAGGGTCAGTCGACTAAGTAGCAACAAATGTCTCAGCACAACGAGCACGATCATATGCACGTACCAACATCCTTGCGTGCTCCAAGTGGTCGAGCGGCTCCCGAGTAACCCCCACATCAGAATAGTCCTTCCAACGCACAAGGTACTCTATGCGAGTAGGCGTATCGTCAGTAACTCGGCGAGATATAATGTCAGAAACGACGAACTCCACGTGACCGTCCACGATGATAGGTGGAGTGCGTTCATAAAACTGTATGGCGAAGCGCTTAGACTGTCTGCTATAAGGACGCATCAAGGAAACATAATATACATCATGCACTTTCACACGAAAATTGATTGGACTAAACTTGAAAGTTATTGCTAGATGCAAGCCTAACACTTTGTTCTTTGGATAGGAAACGTACAGGTGGTTTGAATGCAGAAAAAACGGAGCTAAAAAAATTTCAGAACACCAGGCCAGAGGGGGTTGAATTTGGTTGTGGCACAGATTGGAGCATAGCTGACCTCATTCCTTTGGGACATCCGTTAGAATATAAACGATATCATGCACAAGGATGACATAAATAAATTGAGAAATGATCCAATAATAGCATAGTCGGCCTTTGTACACTTGCGGGCTGTGTATACACCCGTACGAATACGGGTCGTTCATACATTCGAACGATCGTACGAACGAGCCCCTCGGCAGTCGTATGACCCGTATGTACGACCGTTTGGGGCAAAAGGAAGTCTTGGGGAAGGGAGGTGAGGGTTTAGACGGGGTGGGGGGGGAGGGGCGGCACATGTCGGGGGTCATCCACCAGATAAAAATAAAAAAATAAAAATAAAAAGATAATTTTTTTTTTGTTGTCGGGAAGTAAAAGAAAAGAAAAAGAAAGGATTGATTAATTGATTGATTGATGATTGATACATTGATTCCTTGATTCCTTGATTCATTGACTTATAGATTCATTGATCCATTGATTGACCGATTGTCAGTGATTAATTGATTGATTGATTTTGAAACGGAAAGGAAAAAAAAA